GGGGTGGGACAGGGCCCCCTTCCACACTGCTCCCCTGCACACCACGTGGCCGAGGCCTGTCCTTGCTCTCCCTGGGCCTGGCCTCTGCCGACCATGAGACACACAGCCCCTCCTCTCTGGCGGCCTCCAGTTGTGATTCCTCACGGGTCCCCTGGTGCCACTTCATATTTTTCTGCTCTGTCCAGCACTGAGCCACCTCCTCCCACTTCAAAGCGGATTGTGCCAGGAAAGCTAATCAGGTGAGTCAGCCTAGGAGACGGATCCCAGTCCAGGTCGCCTGCAGCTGATGACAAGAGCAACCCGGGCCAAGGAGGCGATGCCGGGGCTGCTGGAAATGTCACATCCAGAGCTGCCGCTCGTCCTCCAGGACGGACAGGGCTGTTGCAGGGGTGACTCAACCCTGTCTCTCTTAGGAGGACGAGAAACCCTGTGCGTGCAGGCGGAATTGTTGGGACACAGGGGTCTCGGCTTACTAGCCTGTCATCTTGTCAGTCCTGAGCTCAGCCAGACCGTCTGGGGATGTGCTCCAACTCCACCAGAGCCTGTCTGTGCCTCGGTTTCCTCATCTGTAAAAAGGAGGTACCAGCAGTGCCTACCTTGTTGGCTTGTTATGAGGGCTGCACTCAGTGAATGTACATATCAATAGAGCATTCATTTTATTACTGAAGTGATTGTAGTCTCCTCTTACCTCTAGTTTTACCTTCTTTCTTTCTTTTCTTTTTCTTTTTTTTTTTTTTTTGGTACCAGGAATTGAACATCCCCAGCTCTTTTCATTTTTTATTTAGAGCAGGGTCTCACGAAGCTGCTGAGAGCCTCTTCGCTAAGTGGCTGAGGCTGCCTTTGAACTTGTGATTCTCCTGCCTCAGCCTCCTGAGTCAGTGGGATCATAGGCAAGCACCACCATGTATGGCTCTATAGTTTTACTTTCTATGGTCAACTGTGATTTGAAAATATTAAATGATCAGTTCCAGAAACAAATAATGCATAAGCTTTATATTGCACGTTGTTCTGTGTAGTGTGATAAAAAATTGTGTCCCGTCCTGTTCCAAGCTGCCCTGGGTGTGAATCCTCCCTTTGTCCAGTGTATCCATGCTGTGTACACCACCTGCCTGTCACTTGGTAGCTGTCTCAGTTGCCGGACCTACTCTGTAGGTACTGCATGTGGTGCTTGTGTTCAGGTGACCCCCTTTTACTTAATGATCTTAAGCACCAGGGTGGTGACTCTGGCAATTTGGACATGCCAAGCTGTGCAGTGCTGTAGATATGGGGTTTGCTACTGTCAATGGTTTCAGGCATCAGCTGGGGGTCTTGGAATACATCTCCCCTGGGTTGGGGGGACTATTATATTATTATTATTATTATATTTATTTATGATATTATTCTTGTCTCTAAAGTATGGAATGAGGCCAAATATTCCAAAGGGGTTTCTTGCCCTTCCTGTTTTTGGGACGCTTGTGGATGGGTGGCCCTGGGCAAGGCCCGTCCCCTGTCTGGTCCCGGGTTCTCATCTTTTGATTGAGGTGCTGAGGCTGCATCTCTGATGGCCTGAACCTATGAAATAAGCATCATGAACGGCCAGGGCGGGGTTAGCTTGCTATCTTGGCCTCACCCTGGGGATGTTAGAAGATGTTTTCTTTAGAAATTTACCCAGAATTTAATTAAATTCCCTGCCCTTTTGGTTTATTATGAACAACTGCTTATTTCAGCTGAGATAAACTATTAAGTCATCAAAATAACAGTTGATATCTGCAGTGGGCTTTGAAAGTCCCATTCACTCCATGTTTACCAGACACCTTCCTAAGTCTGGATCAACGTAGTCTATCATTATTACAACCCCCAGGAAGGACATTATTATCCCTGTAATAGAGGAAGTTGAGGTCAAAGAAATTAAGCAACTTGCCCAAGAACCCACAACTGTAAATGGCAAGTCCAGATTCAAATCAGAAACCCTGACTCTGGACTCTATAAACTTGGTCCCGTGAGTACTGGCAGTTGGCCTTGAACTTGACTTCTAATTCTATGATGGTAACCTGACATTATGCCGTTCCTTTCAATAATTAAAACCTCAGAATCTCATCATTGGAAGACAACAGGGATCACCAAGGTGTCTTAGTTGGGTGGCTCATAGGACACTGTGAGAAGCTGAAAGAAGTCCTGGACACTTTCCCAGCAAAACATCCATGTGACAGCCACAGAGGCACATGCGCACAGATGCGCCTCAATTTCAGGGGTTCAAACACCTCAGACGGAGAAACTCAGGTAGTTCCTCCTCTTCTGATAAACATTCACTTTTGCTTGGCTTTTCCGGAGCTGAGAACCTCCCACCTGGAGAACCTGCGGACTCCGCTGAGTTTGCCTTTGATTGCTACAAAGCTGCTGCTTCAACTTGATTGACATTCCATGACTTTGGTTCCACTCTGCCCAGCAGATGTTGGTACAGAATCAACCTCCTCCGTCTTCCTGCGACAGCCCTTCGTGATTCTGAAGAGGTGGGTCACATGGTCTCTGGTCCTTCATTAATTGGTCCATTCTTCATAACTAGTTCATCAATGTCCCTCTCAAATGCCCAGAATTGGGGACAACCCAGAATGGGACAATCTTTGGCCGTACACTGATCGGCATAGTGGAGGGCTCTCCCTTTGTCCTGGGTCTCATACCTCCATGAACACACCTTAAGAGTGGATTACGTTTTTAAAACTATCTGATTTTGAAATATAACAACTATGGAGAGGGGCACCCACAAAAAAGGACAATTCAATGAACCAAAACCAAACATCACATCACCACCACCCAAGTCAAGACACAGAATATCCACCACTTCTGCCTCATCTCAACGACCGTCCTCTTTCTGCTCCAAAGAGAACTTCAGTCTGACTCCTCTTTTTTTTTTTTTTAAGGTGGTGAGGTAGGAGCCCAGGGGCTTGTGCATGCTAGGCAAGTGCTATACCCTTCAGCTACACGACCAGCCCTTCTTGTGCTTCTTAAAAGTTTTATCACCTAAACATGTACCTCAGTCAACACTATGATTTTTCTGGGTTTTGAATTTTATGTAAATAGAAGTATAGGAATGGGCTTTCTTTGCTCGACTTATTTCACTCATGGCTTGTTTGTAAGATCCATTCATGTCGTTACGTGTAGTTTAGTTCATGCAGTGCAGCTGTTGCTGAAAATATTCCATTTGTATAAATGGACTACAATTTATATTTTCTGTTGTTGATGGGCATACAAGTTTTGGAAATTATAAACAAAGCTATTATAAATAAGTGCTTTTGTTCATACGCGGTTCATACATGTATATATTTAGGTTGGGCAAATCTGAAAGAATCCTGCACAACTTTAACTTAGCAGATAATCTTAAACTATCTTCCAAAGGGGTTGTACTAATTTATACTTTCACCAGGTGTGTATGTGTGTGTGTGTGTTCCAATTGTTCCATGTTTTTACCAACACTTAGCCTTATTAATCCTTTTAATCTTGGCTCTTCTGGTGGTTATATATGGCATCTCGTTGTGGTTTTATTTTGCATTTCCCTGGTGACCAATGAAGTCGAGGCCATTTCCATCTGTTATTTGGCATTTGTCGATTAGAACTTTTGGCAACCCAATACCCGTCTGACTCACACAGACTGGGAGCCAAGTGAAACAAAGTCTCTGACATAGGATGCTATTTAGTAATCTCTCTCCTATTGACTTCAGTTGGTTTCCAGAGCAGGTCAGATATTCTTAATTATGATGATGGATAATATTCATTCAGTGTTTCAGGCACTGAGCTGAGTGCTTGCCATGCATAATGTCCTTTGATCCTTGCAACCGGCTTTTGAGGTCAATACTATCATTATCTTCATCATAAGAAGGAACTACGGTTGGGGAGGCTCAGCAACTTATCTAAGCTCTCCCAACTTAACTGTAACTAGATTCAAATTAATACCCTTAGTTGCTATAACATACTGTATATGAACAAATTTATGACTCTGAAAAGTTCTGCACTGAAAACTTACTTTAACACAATTTTTCAAATCTATTTGAACAAAATAGATCCTAACCTCCTGAATAATTGCAATTTTTGGAATATAGTATCGTCCCTTGGTATCTGTGCAGGATTGGTTCCAGGACCAGTTCTACAGAGACCAGAATCCACAAATGCCCAATTCCCTTACATAGCCTGGCACAGTATTGATATATAACCTGCACACATCCTCCTGGGTATTTTAAATCTAGATTACTTACAATACCTAAAAGGCTATAAAAATGCTGAATAAGTGATTGTTACACTGTATCATCTAAGAAATGATGTCAAGAAAGCAGTCTGCATGTTGAGGACAGATGCAATTTTTTTTTTTTTCCCTGAACATTTCTCTGTGTTTGGTTGAGTTCATGAACATGGAACCCATGGACCTATAGTCCCCACGGCCTCCTCTGGTTTCTAGTCTGGTAGAACTTTCACCAAAGGAAATTAAGTTAGTGTTGTCCAGGGATCTCAGCCTTGACACATTGACATGGGGCTGCATAATTCTCCTGGGGGACCGTCTCATGCACTGCAGGGTGCTTAGCAGTGTGCTGGCTTCTACTTGGTAGGGGCCAGTAGCATCCTATCCCCCCACCAAATTGTGGCATCTAAAATTGCCTCCAGATATGGCCACCCCCCCCCCCCGGGCAGCAGACCCCCAACTGCTGGTCTAACCTGGCTTCTGAGTGCGGTCTTCTTTATTCCCGGTGATCGCCTCTCACCTGTCTAAGCAGTCTCAAAACTGCCCAGCATGCCAATCTATTCTTAGGGAACAAGGAGCATTCTCCCACAGCAGAAGAACGCGCCCGCATCACGCATGCCCTCTTGAGTCTGCAGGGAGAACTCGTTTCAAACACCGCTATTGCAATGAGACACCAAGAGAGGTCGGATGGTGACTCGCTGGAGGTCACAGATACCCAGGGAGCAGAGGGCGGGCGACAGGTGCCCTGGGGAAGCGGGGAGTGTGTCCGCGGTCATCGACCTGCTTCACCTACCTTGCCCATTCCGGCGTGGGCGTGTCCCAGCTTGATCACCACCGGGAAGTGCGGGGCTGTGAGCTGAAAGAGGCAAGAGGAAATCACCTGTTAGCATCTCAGAGCATGGTCACCTGGGCTGTGGGCACTTCCTGTTCTGAAGTCAGGTTCACCCATCTGATGCTGCCCTGGGTCCCCACGGTCATGCTTTGTGGGTGGCCATCCTGCCGTGGCTCACGCATCCCACCCACCCGCGCTTTTGGCTTCCGAAAGGGAGCTCTGAGCTCTTCAACCAGCCTGTCTGGGGCACCCGTCAACCCACAGAGACAAGAAGGTCCTTCATGTCGCTCCTGTGCCTTTGAGGTGGGTTGTTGATTTCTGGAAGTCTATTTTGGGTTGCTTGAAGGCAAAGTCCCCACACCCCATTGTGTCATGATAATGCCACTCCCTTCCATTTAGATGACCTCCAGCCAGAGGTCACCACGACCCACGCTCTGGGCTGCACAGATGTTCTGATGCCTGTCATTGGAGTGTCCCCTGGCAGAGCTGTCTGTCCTGTCACACCAGGGCACCGAGGAGCCCAGCTTTCCCTCTGGGTGGCTAGTGCCTGGTCGCTCATGTCGTAGCTGCTGTCACTGCTGCAGGAGGGTCCCTATAGGTCACGAAGCCATTCTCTGGAGCTCATCCTTCCACTCCCAGGTGGCCCCGGGATGCAATCGGGGAAGGCAGCTTGTTACCACTTCACAGACAGGGGAACTGAGACTCAGCTCAGCAGCTGGGAGGGGTGAGCTGAGGACTTGAACTTGACCCTGCTGGACTCCACACTTGGGGTGAACAAGCTTCCTGTGGTGGACTCCGAGTAATCCCCCTCCCCCACACCAGGCTACGGGTCACCACACCCTGGTGTCGAGAGCAAGCACACGCATTAAGGAAGCAATATTTGATTTTGACTCCAAAAGCAATATGCACAAACCAAGAAATTGGGAAAATAGAATAAAGTGGTAAGTTTAAAGAAGATTATGACGATCACCCTCAGACTTCCAACAGTTTCAGTGTATTATATGTTGGTCTTTTTTTTTTTTTTTTTTTTTAAAAAAAACCCATTATGTGTTTCTCTCTTGATTTGTTCTGTTTTTACAAAATTGGGAGTGTAGCACATATCCAGTTTTATTTCCTGTTCTTTCCACCTAATATTATGTGGGAGAATGTCCCCGGCTGTTATTTGTTAGTTTAATAGGTGTTATGAAATGCTTCACATATGAGAAAAGCCTCCATGAACCCTGTTGTGGGCAGCACCTTGCTTAAGAAATAAAACAAAGAGAGGAAGCCTCTGCTCTCATTCTTTCTATCACACTCTCCCCTCCCGTCCCACAGGTACCCCACATATGAATTCTGTGTTTATTAGTCTCTTGCATTTATTCATAATTTTCCTATTATACATACTTCCCAAGCCATGGGTCACACATTTTTAAGCTTCGTGTCAGTGGTACCAAAGAGTCGATTGCATGTCTGTTTCCACATGCTTGTGAGATTCACGTGCGTTCATAATGTAACTTGGACTCATTTTCCTGCTGCATGGTATTCCATTCCTTGGATACGTTACCATTTACTCGTTTTCTGCTGATGAACATTTAAGTGATTTCTGTTTTTCCAGTTACAAACAAGACCACTGCAAACCCTCTTGAGTTGGACCTCCTCTAAGCACGTGGGATGTTTCTCTGGGGCACATCCATAGGGAAAGAATTGCTGGGTTTGGGGGACGCTTGTCTCCATGGTCTAGATGTTGCCAGATTGCTCTGCAAAACGGTTGTAGCAACTTAGGCTCTAAAGGGCAGAGAGAGGGAAGTCCCACTAGCGGGGGTTCAAAGTCTCACATCTTACCCATCTCATCAGTGTGAGAGGCCGAACCCAGGGGTGTATTTTTATCCAGGGGCTTTTGTTCCCCAGCCATCCATGCAGACTTTAAGCACCCCCGGGAGTCCAAGGACTTGGGATTTCACTCATCTCATTTTAAGGGGGGGGGGCTCGAGGTGGAGGAGAAATGGGTGTTCTTCTCCCTTGACCCCCACCATGGACACTGGTGTGCCAGAGGCCCTGCCATTTGCTCTCTGTTTAACCTTGGGCTAGCTATTTATCCTCTCTGAACCTCAGTTTTCTGACCTGCAAAATGGGGCTGATAATGCCCAAGTCCCAGGATTGTTGGGAGGAGAGACAAGGAATGTAAGATGCTCAGCTCCCGATGATGCTAACCTGGCATGTAAAGAGGGGGGCAGGGAGGAGATACCGTGGGGAGGTGGGAAGGGGCAGGGAGACTGGATAATGGAGGAAGGAGAGTGGAGACTGTGGCCTCACAACCTCTGATAACACTGGAGGGAATGAACCGAAGACACAACCAGAAAAATCAGAAGCTCACACCAGAGGGAGAGGCCAAGGTGAAGACCATGGGTCCGGACAGGGGGTGGGCATGGTGGATAGGGTGGGCCGCTCAACGAGGTTTCCTTTCTTTCTTTCTTTGGTAGCAGGGAATGAACGCAGGGGCACTCCACCTCTGAGCCACATCCCCAGCCTGATTTCGTATTTTATTTAGAGACAGGGTCTCACTGAGTGGCTCAGTGCCTCCCCGTTCCTGAGGCTGGTTTTGAACTCGAGATCCTCCTGCCTCATTCTCCTGAGCTGCTGGGATTATAGTCGTGTGCCCCGTGCCTGGCTAAGTTTTCTTTTCTTAAGTGACGCTTTTGAATTGAAATGATAGTGTTAAAAGGGTTATGAAAATGAGAGATGAGGTGGACACAACCCCATCATTTAATCAAATCAGTATGTATGGGTCCACGCTGTTTTATTGTCCTCATTTTTATGCCCAATTAGAAAATCCAGGACAGTCTACGATGTTAGAGAGAGAATTTTACATCTACCTCATCACTTAATATTATACCATCAGTATTTTCCTATTTTTGCTGCAGACATATTTCTTAGCTCTCCTCCCCGCAGCCCCAGGTCACTAATCTTGCTTGTTTGGTGCATCTGATGTCCACCCCCCAAGGTCACCTGCTCCCTCTTGTCAAAAGTGGCCATATGGCTGATTGAGGGTGATTTTTCCCCCCCAAAAATAGCTCTCAAATCCTACCAGGCACACCCCTCTTCCAAGTTCACAGGAGCGGTCCTAACCCCACAATTTTATGACTGCGTAATATTCCACATCTGAATGTTCTGAAATCCTTCCCAAAGCTGCTTTCCTGGTAATGGGTGTCTGCAGTATCCGTCCTCTCTCTGTCCCCATCCCACTCTGCTCCCTACAGGCAGGACGTCTCTTGGAACCTCTGGACCCAGGTCCTCATGAACTTGAGCTAGTGTTTTGCTTCCTGGAGGCCAGGCCAAGAGCTTTTCTAAGGGAGACCGGCAGCATGTGGCGATGTTGCACTGTCAGTTGTTGGAGCGCAACAAGTGGCAGTGGGCATGGCCTGTGCACTGGGGAGCCCACCCAGGACATCTTCTCCTGGGCAGGCGTGACTGGGCTGAGTGTCAGTGAGGGCCGGGGAGGGGAGCCAGGGACCACGAGCATTAGCGGCTTTCCCTGCCCCTCGTCACAGGGAAAAAGGCGGAGGCCAGCCGTCGGTGCTGCTCAGGGCCACCAGGCCTCCCCCTACCCTCCCTCCGGCTGTTGAACGGGTTTCAAAGGCCCCCCCCCCCATTTCCACCTTTGCCACTTGCCAGCCGCTCCCCAAACACAGACAGGTCACAGAGGACAGAGCATCTTGTTGGCTGTTTTCTGTCTTCCTTTCCCAGCAAGAGCTTCATTTGTTGGAGGCCAGGCCAGCCTCCCCCAGGCCCGTCCATCATGGGCCCCCAGCGCTGCAGAGTCCAGCTGCCCCTGGGGGAGGCCTGGCATCCTGTGGGGGGGGGGGAATCAATTTTTGAAAACAGAGATCTCCACCCTGCTAAGGGCGTATTCAAACGTATCCCCAGAAACTGCAGTAGGTGGGGGGCCTGCGTCCCCGCAGGGTGCTCCGTGGGGAGATCAGAGGCAGAACAATCTAAGCCCAGAGGGTGGTGGGCCACCCTCGCCCTGGAGCCCCGGAGCTGGACAAGGAGGCCCTCAGCGCCTGGCCCAGCTTCCCACCCAGGGAGGCGGGTCCCCCCTAGTCTGGGCTCTGGCACTGGGACCATGAGCAGTGTCTGACCCTGGCTAAGTGGCAGTGTGACGGTGTCCCCCAAGGTTCTCCTGTGGGGCCCTGGTTCCCAGTGCACTGGTGTTGAGGTGGAGGACCTTTAAGAGGTGGGGCCTAGGGGAAGGTCACCAGGTCACTGAGGTGCTCCCTCAGAAGGGATTAAGTCGTTCTCGTGGGATTCCGGGGCTAGTCCTCAAGAATGGATTGTGAGAAATAAGCAAGCTCCCCTCCCCTCCCCTCCCCTCCCCTCTCTTCCTGCCTCACCCTGTGGTGGCTTCCTCTCCCATGTGATCCTGCCACTGTGATGCCACTGTCCCAAGAGCCTCACCAGAGCCGAAGCCGATGGGGCCATCCAATCTCTGACTTTCAGTTCCTCAAACTGTGAGTGCAATAAACTTCTATTTACTGAGTACCGGCCTCGGGAATTTCATTATAGTAACAGAAAACAGACCAATATAGTGATGGAAAAAGCAAAGCCAAGAAAAACTTGGAGGAACTCACTGACCAAAATCAAGGACGGAAGTCTCCCTGAAGAAGTCTGGAAGAGGTGGAGGGGGAACGGGGCCTCCGCTCTGTGACTATGAGATGCTGCCTGACCTGGCTTTTGCCTGCCTCTTCTGTTTCATCTTGTACTTTTCCATCCTCCCAACTTCAACTCTTGGCTACACGTTATGTTCCAACCCACAGGCCTTTTGGTTCTTTACTAAGTGGACCATGTTACCTGAAGCCTCAGGACCTTTGCTTATGCTGCCCTTTCCCTGAAAGACCTTTCCTAACACTCTTCAGTCCCTTCTCATACTTCACGTCTTTATTGAAATGCTCTGTTACTGGACAGCCCTCCCTGGCCACTGTTCTAAAGGAGGTGCTTCCCACTGCCTGTCTGTTGTATCCTGAACTCTTCCTTCATGCGCTAGTCAC